CCCAGCCTTGGCCCTGCCACCTCCCCCAGCCCGGCCATGCCCCCCAGGGGTGCCCCAGGGTCGTGCTGTCTTGTGGATCGTTCTTAGCCGTGGTAGTTTAGCACTCCCCACCACGCCGTGCTGGCTGTGGGCTGTGCCCCCTGTGCCACCTTGCCTTTCAGGATCAGGACAAACAGGGTGCTGTTCCAGGGTGCCCAGCGGGCGCCCGTCCTGGGGGAGCCCCGTTTTCTGCTGGGCAGGGGAGGGGGTTTGTCGTGTCCCCCTTTGTTTCTATAAATGACCTTGTATCTCTGGCGGTGCAGCGCGGGGTGGCCCTCGCACCGCTCCAGTGTCTGTGAATCTGTCGTCTGCCATGGAAACCATCGTTGTGCCGCTCAGGCAGTGCCTGTCTCTTCCTTTCCATCTCCCTGTAGGCTCCTGCCAGCTCCCTGGGGGAGCTTCCCCCCAAGCCTGGCCAAGGGTCCCTGGGCATTGCAGTCTCCTAGGGTCCTGCCTGCAGTGGGTTCGCTTGGCTGAACCTCCAGCCCCCTGCAGCAGCCTGGACATCCCAGCATCCTGGATCAGCCCTTTTTCTGGGGTGGGGGGATTGTACCCAGGGTTACAGGAGAGGGAAATGGGGGAGGGGAATCCTGGGACTTCATCCCAGTAGCCGTCAGGGTGCAAAGGAAGAGGAGGCCCTGCCCTGATGTGATCCAGACTGACTTTAATGCCACACACGGTGGCCGGTTGGAGACACAGCTGCCATGGATGGTGCCACCACCAGCTCCGCTGCCATCCTGGGGATGAGCTGGTGCCCCTTGTGGCACGTCCCCCCCTGGGGACACCATGGTGGCGAGGGGCTGGCGCCAGGCAGGTCAGTACTCCCAGAGCGTGGCCCGCAGCACGGACTCGCTGTCAGCCCGCAGGGTGCCGGCCGGGTCCCCGCGCAGGTACCGGCCGTTCTTGGCTTTGATGGCAACACGGCCGCGCTCCCGGAATTCGAAGAAAAAATCCTCGGAGAGGTCCCCGTCGCTGCACACCGACCCACTGCTCGCCACGTACCAGAACTTGCCCCCCTGGCCTGCAGAGAGCCCCCAGGGGCCATCAGCAGGGTCCAGGTGGACCCACAGCAGCCCCC